TAGACACAACCGCACAGGGAAAACAGCGTGTGCGCTAATATATTACCGCTTTAACCCTGAAGTGGGTACACAAAGATTATTTTTGTAGATTAAGAAGATACATAAACGGCGCTCGCAGGACCGTCGTTTTTCATCACGTTTAATATTGTATGCTCTATAACGTTGCATTATCATAGGATAATATTATCCGGTTAAGTTGTGTTTATGCAAAGCTCTTTGCCCAGGTCCAGCTGCCGCCAAACCGTAATACGATAATATATTATTATTATACGACCGTTGCACTTTAGATTTTCCATAACGTTGCGCGTGCGTCATTGTAGGTTTAATGCCCAAGTGGTGAAATTGTTCAAATAACAAAAAAAAAAAATTGTTGAAATTAATCCGCCGTATTGGCTGCCCGTTCTGCAACCTTAAACGGATGTTAGCGGGGTTCGCGCTTAAAAACATTAAAATAGGCGTTAAAAAATATTGTTTTATAAAAAAAAGAGAATAATTTGTATTTGTATAGAATTATATAAGGCCGAGTAATTGGAAATCCGGAAACAGGCGTGTGTTGTGCTTTAAAAATATCACAAATATCGTCGATTCATAATGTAATAGTTGAACTAGTATTAAAAACATAGAAGTATAACTTGTAATTTTGTTGTAAAAAAGTGATCAAACTATAACCGTGTAAAGTGTATTCAAATGTACAAAAAAAAATTGGTCGACAGAAAAGTACCGAAAAAACACTTTTCCGACAGGTTATTCTATTTAATGTCAGTTAGTTTTTTTAACACCGAAAATTGCATTAAAAATCATATTCAGACGTTGTAAGCAATTTAAAAAAACATTCTTGCTAAGGTAAAAGTTAACGCTAATTTATATATTTAGGTATTAGCCTTGGGATGTTTACTATGATGTGACAGTTACACAAACACACACCACAATATTTAAAAGTATAAATATTTTCTAAAATTTAAGATTTGTTGAGGCTTTTTTGGAATATAATGAGAATGCTTTTTGTTTAATATTTTGAAAATAACTCATTTACGGAAATTATTTATGAACTACTATTTAAATGATTGTGTTTTTTTTTTTAGTTCCTAAAATATTTTCTGGTTTGTTAAGTCTAAAAACGGTACCATTTTTGCGGTACTTGTTATTATTTTATTTAGAGTTTTCGATAAACAAATTATATGTATTTTGAATAATTTAGCTACTTATGTTTGGAACGTTTTGCAGTTTGCCAAGAAGCGATAATTATAATAATAATCATTTTTTTTTACACACCTAAAATTCATAGAACTCAAAAACCATTATGAGAATTCTTACAGACGGACAAGACGGATATTTGATTTATATTATCAATGAAAATCTTAATCATGTTTTTTTCGAAATCGATTAATTACATGCGATATTGACTGTTCTTCGACCACAGTCTAAACGACCATCATTATTTTCCCCATCCATATATTCATTGCACATGGCTCATGCCTTACTATGGTAACTATTCGGTGCAACTACCAAAGAATCAATAAAAAAAAACTAGTTATTTTATCATCAATTATCGTATTTATCGACAGTTAATTTAATCATGCCGACTTCTATTATCGAGTGTACCTTGTTAGAACTTGCTATCATCTTTAGCAGCATCATCATTTTTATTATTGCTATTATGTTCGGTATAGGTCTTGTTTTATTGTTAATATATTCTGTGTGTGGGTACAAAAAAAGGTAAAAAAGGTTTACCATTAGCATTACCTATTCTTAAATATACAAACTCTTAGAGGGGGAGGGTAAACCAATGATTTTGACTAAACATTTTGGTGGAAAATATTGAAAATATAATATTTATTTAAGATTTGGAAAATAGTCGTTGTACAATGTTGAATAAGGTATTTAAGAAATATGGTTAAAGTATTTGTATAGATACAATATATTTTGATTTCTCGCTAAATTATGATGTAAACATATTTTTAAACAGTATTACATTTCTATATTTTTGGGTAAATTATTTTTCCAACAAATATTGTTTAACTACTTACATACTAGATACATATCTATATTTTATTCTACCTAAAACTAGTGTTAGTATAAGATTTTTATGTGGTTATAAAAGAAAAATGTTTGTGAACGTTTTATAAATATTTTACATCTTTACAAATAATAATTTGTTGTGAGAACAAAATATTGTAATATGAAGTAATATAAAGAATATTTCATATTACTAAAATCATATTATGGCCATACTTGATTAGTTTTATCATTGATTTTTCCAGAATTTTTTACTGAGTTTTTTTGTTAAGCGTGGCATTAATAATGTGCTCCATCTTCCTCCATACAAAATTCGCCACTTTCTTATATCTACTGATTTTTATACAGGGTGGGTTTTTAGTAAGTGATTAGGTACAACTTTTTTGGTTGACGGTATCTACCGTGTAGTGTAAGAGCGTTTCTGACTTCTGTAACAAGTATAATAAAATAATATATATAAATAGTATATACATTTACAGGAAATCGAACGTAATCCCACAACGTCCTTCTGGTTGTGAGATCAACAACAATTAATTTGTTATTATAGTGATAAATGATAATAGAAAATAATATTGCAAGATACGCCAGTAATGCGATAATTGTGCTTTGGTAACACGTTTGCACGTGTAGCTAATTTGCATGTTCCGTCGACTATGAGTTATTATTATAACTTTTTTAATGTATGTATACCGTTTTATGTGCGTGAAAGGTCTACCTACCGCAATAGGTCATTGAATAACCGCGGCGGGCGACCCCGGTGAAATCCGTTTTGATATGAGTTAAAATAATAATAATTAAAAGTCGATAGGTTAGGTTAGGTTTTTATAATAAAAAAAAGTGTATAAAAAATTGTACAGGTAATCCTAATCAGGGTTTCAACCCCCCCCCCCCAAACATTTAATAAAAATACATACAATTCGTTTAACTATTTGCTCGACAACGGCAATGTTTTTGAGCTTGTACAAGTGTCACAATATTTTTAAAAAATTGTTCATAAAATATTTTATTATCAAATTTAAATAGTCTGTAATAATTGTCGTAATACAATGTGGATTTAGTATTGTAAAAATATTTTTACATACTGTTTTAGAAAAAAATACAATATTAACAACGCACATTTTTCAATAGCAGTTACTATTAAATATAACTACACACACGAGTTATTTTCAAAATGTCAAACAAATAGGTGTCTAATAATATTATAATAAAACTCAACAACATACTTTAGAAATATTTATATTTGTCAATTATGTGAGTGTGTAACTGTCATTTCTAGAACTGTTACCTAATAGATTGTACAAAATTACAACAATTTCAGGTTATTATTTTATTTCATTCGACAAAGCTTTTAGTGCAAAATGGCAGTATTAGTACAGCTTGTAATAATTATATTATATTTTTCGTGAACTGGGTAATTTTTTACTTAATTCGAGAAACATATTTGAATACAATAATTACATAATAATTGGGCTTACATTTATTTGTTTATGGATTTAACTTGAAAATGCGTCCCGTTATTTCACGGGACAGTCCGGTGGTTAATGGAATTTGATTATGCGTCCGAACTTCCGAATAGTAATTAACCTATAATGGTTCCATAACAAAAATTTTGTTATGCAAATTTTTTTTTCATATGATGATTTCTACAATGTTTTCTATAGCTATGAACTTGTTCATTGGCTATATAGGACGTTAAACTCACATGCTTTGTTAGTTTTGACTAGGGTAGGGGAAAGCTTTGTTGTTCTTTCATTTGTGAGGTACATATTTACTAGGACTATTGCAGTCTAACCGCTCGTGTGCTGTGTACACTTCTGCAATATGGTGACCTCCAGCTGAGGAGTTACAGTGATGAAAAAGTGGTTTTTGGCAAGTATCCCTACAAGTACAGTGTGCACCTGCTTATGGGTAAAAAGTAACGCGGTGCGACGACATACCCACGAGTTATATTATTATTATTTTATCAATACACGACGTGCTTGTGGCCAAACTATTTGTAAGCCTGAATGATTTATAATGTAATATATAATGCCCCCGGGGTCCGTAAATAGGAAAAAGCCGCTGCGTTTAAAAACGTTACACGGAAACCCCATTAAAATGCATTAATAAAAACTCGGTGTGTAGATTTTCAGTTTAAACATTTTGTCCAGAATTGGGCGTTAATTAATAAATTTCGTAATCGACTTATAAACACTGATTAAAAACTAAATAAAAAAATCATGATTTATTCGTGTCGGTTGGTGTAGTTGAATTAATTATTTAATAATGAATTACTTTAGTTAACTAGAAAGGTAACCAACATGATATTGTTTCAATATTAATGAATGACAACCAATTATTATTTAATCATTTGCATCATAATATATTTTTAAATTTATTAAAATTAATCAATTAGTTAAAATGAAGTTGCGCTTTAAAAGAAATAGTGAATTCACACTAGATATTATGATTTGCACATGAAGCGCCTAACAATATTATAAGTTAAATTTGATAAAAAACATAATCATTGGTCAACAAAAAAAAACTATTTCATCTGTCGCGTATAGATTTTTTTTTTTAAAGATTTGATTTCTTAAATGACTATCACAAACTAAAAAAAAAAAACACTAAATAAGGGGATGGGATAAGAAGAGATAATGTCTGATAAGAAATATAATAAGAGTGGTTATTGACTTAACATTTAAGGAATAGCTGATAAAACATAATACGATAGTGATAATATTTATAAGAATGTTGTTTGGCATGCAGAGTTAAGCAAAAATGAATTAAGTGACGAATGACGGCTACAATAAATCGTAGCTACAACGTTTAATAATTGTTATGGAAAATACATAATATTTGTATTCGAATAATAGTGGCTTCGAAATTAAAAAACACTATTCAAACAGTAATAAAACAATTGTAGTAGAAATAACGGAGAAATGTTAAAATTATAAAAACATTGTATCCGAATAACTACAATAAAGCTATTTGTTGTTTTTCAGGTACCCTCATGGCCGAGGAGACGTTAGAGCAACGGGTGGCCAAGTTCGAGACGTTCATCAACGACGTGCTCAAGGAGAGTCTGAAGCGCATCCACGTGGCGGTGGACATGTTGAACCAGGAGATCATGGAGCTGGAGCAGACGGGGAACTCCATAAAGACCCTGAGTCGCCTGGCGGCGGAGCGCCCGGGCAAACCGCTGAAGACCCGCGTGAACGTCGGATGCGATTTTTACATGCAGGCCAACGTCGAGCCGCACACTTACCTGGTGTGCGTTGGCTTGGGCCATTACTTGGAGTTCACCGAAACCGAAGCGACGGCTTTCGTCCGGCACCGATCCCAATTGTTGAAGGCCCGGGCGGACGAATTGCGCGACGAAGGCGCTCGCGTCCGGGCCCAGATCACGTTGGCCTTGCACTGCATACAAGATTTGCAAAACATTAATTGATTTGTTAATCGACATTATCCGATAACGCTGTAAATTCCCCACATTTTGTCCCCTCTAATGGTTTTTTTTTTTTTTTAGTTAATTATTTAATAAAAACTCTTTTAATCGTCGATTTAGATGTTTTATTTTGTTGTCCGGATAAACACAGACGAATATGTAAGTAAATCTGGAGCTAAGAAAAACATTGTACTCACTTGATGAGAACTTAGTTCAGGCAGACTTATCCATTCCAACCCTGTCTTATTTTTGCCATTGGGTATACTGTGCTTTATATGTTTTTGTACAAAATACAGCAAAACATTCAAGGAAAATATAAAATGTAAATAGTTTTCAACTTTTAACATGGTACGTGGTACCAAGGCGTGTAGAGGAGTGTGCAGTGAAAAGTAGGTACTACCGATAAACGTTGACGACCCCCAAAAAAGTATCATAAACCCTTTTCCCACTATGTTATGGTTACGTAATATGAGTTCTATCTTCTGACAAATGTTCAACTAATAGTCCTAAATGTACGGTTTTTAAAAGTAAAAAAACTTCCCCCCTCCCACCTTGCCGTTTAAGGGCACGTCAAATTAAATATTCTCTATACCTAAACACCAACTGGATCCGACCATTTTTCACGATATTACAGCTGGTTCAGTTTAAAAAAAAAAAATAAAACATAGCTCCGCATCGAAGCTAAAAATATTACTAATGAGCGACCGAATTATGATGTTCGATTCTTTTCTTCTTCAACAACAACCTGAATAATTCATAACGAACGGGTGATCCGAGGATGAGCAGATGTCACAAATTCCCCGCTCTCCTCGCCCCCGCCCCCGGTCCAAACAAAATCCAAGTAGTCTAAATCGTTATTGTCAAGCCGGACCATCGATTACATAGAATTTTCACTACTATTATTATTATTATTATTATTATTGCCTGGGGATCCGGCTCGGCGCTGAGGGCGTATTGTCATCCCGCAGTGCGCATGTACACACACACAAAGTGCCGCTAATGGCCTGCAGCATCGCCGTGGAGCCGCCATGTGGAATGGAACGAATTTTTTTTTATTCTTGTTAGAGCAATTGATCTTGATTGATCAAAGCGGGGACGACAATAATAAAAAAATCACGAGAGACCGACGGTTTTTTTTTTTTTTTTTAGCTAGCCCCGTGCACCGTCGGATACACGTCTGGCCGGATTGGCCGGATTCCTAACCCGCGCGGTCCGACCACAGCCATAAGTGTGTTTAATTGAAAAATATTAACCGGCTTTGTTATATCGGCAAACAAGTCGGTCAATTTGTTAATATACTGTTGAATCAATAAACCACCACCACAGTGGCGAGCAGTGCGTAAGACCGTGACTTGATACGGTGCCGATAAAGTAGGTATTATACATACACAAACATGTTTTCAAAAATGTATACCGAAATATGGTTTTTTTTTTTTTTTGAAAACGTTTTTTTCAAAATAACGTTTTTGACCGGAGATTGCCCACACACACACACACACACCGGTATTGTGTTAATACTTGGCAGTATTGTGAAAATATTTTTACATCATAATACCTATATTGACGGGAAATTACTTTGGCATGCGCTTATATTGAAAGTTTTTGTGCACATATAAAACTGTGTAATATATTTTAGTTTGAATGTATAATATTATTATTGCCAAAGTTTTGAAATGCCGCATCGCTTATCGCCAACACTATTATAATACCATTATGTAAACTGCATATACCCTCGTATCGTTTGTTGTAAATATATTTTATACGTATATATTACTATTGCGACATAAGTATAAGTAGATAAGACTTTAAGTAGCTTTTTTTTCCCCGCACATATTAACGACGTCGGGTGTACAATACACAACAGTTATATAATATTATAATGTAAATCATTCAACGGATCCGCGACAGCATGACCGTTTTTGCCTGGCTTGCACAATTTTGTCGGCCTTTGCTTTGACCTTTGCACGCGCTGCTGAACGGCAAAGACGTTTCCTACTTATATAAATATAAATATATACATCTGTACATCTATAAATTGTTGTAGTATGTCAAAACCGGTTGATCGGACAACGTCCTTTTGTGTAACTATGGTTTGTGTTAGCAGAGTAGAGGGGGAGAGCTGCAAAGGATGACCTCTAACCCTAGGGATGACCATGATGATAGTAATAATAATACTGCACAGGAACTAGCAAAACTATAAACATACATACAGATAGATAGGGCCGGAGAAGGAGCAGGTATGGGAACTTTGTCCGACTGCGACCCGACACCTTCTGGAACGGATTTAGGGACGTCCCCTTCGCGGTCGTTGTTGTTGCAGATGTGCTTAAAATTTCGATTTGACAGTTGAATGGGATCTCGGGCGAAGCCGACGGAATTCTTAATCAGGTTTTACCGGAATAGATTGCATATGTATAAGACTCTTAGGGCAGTCGTTGTGAATAAAACGGCACGAGAAAGGTCGATCCGCGTGCACATATAGCGTAGGTTAGAAAGAAAAAAAAATTATATGTATATAAATAGAACGTGAATAGACTTTGGTCGGAGATTAATAAAAAAAATAAAAACGGGGAGATATTAACCAACAAATTTGATACTGTTTGCAAAATGTCTACTACCGTGTCGTTCCCATAATGGATAGTTTATAGGAAATGATAATTATATAAATATTTTAGACGAGAAGAAGGTTTTGAAGTTGTGTTTCATTTTCTAATGGACCGATTTACACTTGTATGGCCGGTCTGAGTTTACTCAGCAGTGGTCTGAAAATAGACTACCTCTTCTAGTTTAAAGAATTAGTTTATATAGGATTAATAAAATCTTGGAAATCCGTATTTTTTCTAACTATGTAGCGAGTTCTCCTAGTCCTACTCTTATGCGATTGCTACGGGTCACACAGGTCTACACGGAAAAAACTATATAGTTGGGACAATCATAATTTATGGTTAATATAGGGACACGATAATGGGAGTACTAAACTGAAATAGTTAACTATACATAGTTGGATCAACTATATATTATGGTTGGATTGACTAAATATTTTAGTTGCATCTACCTAATGCCAACTATAAATAGTATAAAGTATAGACTAAATATTCCGGTAAAAACTTAAAAGTACTCAAGTTTTTTAAATTTTTTATTAATCTTGTAAATCAGATGACCTCATCAAATGGGCAACAAAAATGGCAATTACCATGAGCCCGCTCTGCCTATACATTGAACGGCGATTTGAATGGCACAACGCCACAAGTGAATTTTGGTCATTTTTGGGCTATGTACATCACGAAGGAAATTTTGTACTGGTTATTTTTTTGCTGAAATGCTGATTGATAAATAGAATAAACGTCACCGTATATTCACCGGTAGAACGTTCTATTCTGATTTTGGACTCGGTAAAGCGACTCACATGGCATACACAGAGGACGATGGCACATGATAATAATATTATAAGGGACGTGCAGACAGATTGTATGTGATACGCGTCCTTTACCGGTCGAACGTCCTTGGCGTTATCGATGGGCACCTACCTAGTGTTGTAGTTATAAGAATAAATTTAAAAAAAAAACACAAACACAAATATAGCATTATGGTTTCTAATTTTCATGCTACACCCGTGCACCATCCGCGCACGAGCTTGCACAAGTAGCTGTTGTATATGGCTATCCATTTATCCATAAAATATTACACAGCGTGCAAACACAAACAGTCTCTGGAAGGTGATCGATAACAATATGTATAATCCAACACCAATGTAGTTAAAATAACGGCCATACCCATTTGGCACCCATTGGAAAATCGTCGATGTGACGGTAAAAAAACATTAAAAACGACCACTAGACGTTATAAAAGCCATATATTTTGTTGTTTTGTAATTATACATTGTTTATTAAAGCCTATTACGTTCAACTAACCAAAGAGATCTAGTAAAATTAATCAAACCACGCATAAGTATTTTTTATTTCTATTTGGTTGTGTAAAGATTAGCGAACACTTCCAAAAAGTACTACATAAAACTGGTTTATTTTTATCTACCGAAATGAGAGTTGGACTCTTTTACTGAATTTTAAGTGATTTGTGAGCTGCACACAATCTGAGGCTAGAATCTGAGATTTATACAAAACAAAATGTTAAATCGGTTTCAAATTAAACTGTTTTTTTTTTAATACAAAAGTACCAAACATAGTCGTTGACACTACAACAGACAACGGCAACGCGTCGGCGATGACAATGGTTTCCAAATAAAATTCACAATGTCAATGTCGATGTCGGACCACCGATAACGTTGTCTGATCTATATAAATAATAATAACAATAATATATTCTAATAAAAATGTATGTGTATAAACACTGCACTGTGTTAAGCCCGTCTATCAAACATAGTACACTGTACTACATACTCAGACGCCTGTAAAACCATTTTATCAGACCTTTGACTTACCCTATCCCTTTACTAGTGTTTGTCATCGCTAAACACATTATTATGTCTCCAAGGCAATTTTATATGATTACACTTACATCTGAGCACTATAAAAATCAGCAAACGTTAAACAACATCATGTTAATGCATTTTATTAATATTAAATAGTACATCGGTTATGTTATTAAGTGACTTTTCGTGTCTCCGCCATAAATGTAAAATCGTTAAATTAATTTCATAGGTTGGGCTACAAATTGATTTTCGAATAATGTTGACGACCAAATAACCGGTATATTATTTTACATACAAAGCAAGAACATAACTATAATAGCCAACCACGTTTACGTGAACACATTATCATTATATTGAGCTTATGTGCCTTCTACTTACTCGGGTCCAGCTGTACCTAATTAGCCCGGTAATCATTATCCGTCCAATGAACATTATAGATACTCATTACTGCGTTATGGGTTTCGAATTCTCAATTAGAGATATATTATTACAGTATACTCTATGTGAAAATCACAGCTAACGTTTGTCTTCTCTCATTACGGAGTCCTCGCATTAATACATCGGTGTTGTATAAGATTACAGATATATATATATTTTTTTTATAATAGCAATTCATTAACGTTCATT